GAAAAAATATTCTTTAGATATCTAAAACCGTAAACTTTCTATATACCAGATAAAAACAATTTTTAAACCCTACAACTCTTTGTGTTGGGTGTATTATAAGTATGAATGGGCCAAAAATTTTGTAACACCTCGAAATATTGGTTTCCCACATAGGAAAGTTTATATGGATCTTCCTATCTTGCCGAGATGAGTCGATCTAGCAATGTATGTCCGTCCGTCCGTGTTAGTTTGTAATTACTTTACAGGTAGCAATTATGGCCCGAAGTTCCGAATCAGAAATGTAGAATGGTGGCGAGGCTAGAGCCAGAATAGAAGCCCATTGCTTTTGGAGATGATCGAATAATATTTGGGGGTTACAATGGACCAAAAACTGAAAACTTTTCTGATTTTGCAGTTGTTCTACAGGTTGCAATTATACACCAATCGAAGTTGGCATGGGGCTAGAGCTTAGGACTGGGCAGAAGTCTTCCAATTTTGAAGGTCATCGTGTTATATTTATTGGGCGAAATAGACCATAACGTTTGGTTAAATAAAAGTCACATTTTCCATAAAATCGCGAATATTTTTAATCCCGGCGAAATCACAAATAAACGAAGAGGACATTTCTGACATTACGTAGATGCCGATAGAAATATATCGAATATATAGTGAAATATATACAATATGTATATACGAAGGACAGGGATGTTAGCTAGAATGCTTATATCTCAAAAATGTCTGCACCGATTTTGACAAATTTTCTCAATTCAGAATGCCCTCTTGGCATAAAAGTATAACATTTTAAAAAATTGCATAACAAGATGCCTGTAATGATGTTAATAAAGATTTTGTAGTATTTTGTGATTTTTTATATATTTTTTTTCATATTTTTATCGCATGCGATTTTTTTTTCAATTTGACTATTATAAGTCAAATTGAAGGGTATTTTTTTATCATATTTGTTCACCCTACAATACAGGTTGGAGTTATTATATGCATATTGCAATTCTCTTCCGGTCCTCACGAAAATTTACACAGGGGTAGGGTTAGACTGAGAAGGGCTAGGCCTATTATTTTCAAAGATGTCCGCAATATATTTAGGGGTTCAAATGCACCAACAACTAAAAATGTTCCCGATTTTGCAGCCATTATAAAGGTCACAAATACAAACCATAGGACACGAAGTCTTGCATGAAGTTAGAGTTTAGGACAGCGGGTAGAATGAACCACTACTTTTGTGTGAAAAAATACCAATAATATTTACAGGCGTTATCCGAGATACACAAAGGTGAACTTCTGGCTTTTTATGCTGATTTCGTTGACGAATATAGCCGAATATCGTAGACAAGCAAATCATAGGGGTTAGAAATTGTCTGATCACACAATTAAAGCCAATCGACACGCCTGTGAAGATAGTTAATGATAGGGAAGATATCTAACATTTTGAAAGATCATTGGATTATACTAAGCTGTAAAATGGACCACAACAACTAACAGCCTGGTCAAAAAGGATAAGGGTAATATCTGGGCAGTGCTTCGTGGCATAACTTCAAAAGCGAAATCTTCCAAAATGAATTTGGACATAAGGGGGCTTATAACATATTTTAGTGTTGTAGGGTATCACATGGTCGGCCCCGCACTACTATAGCCATTGCTTATTTGTTTGCTTTCGATATTTCTGTAGTTGAAATATCTTCCATTTTTTAAAATAGAAAAAAGAACAACTCATGTATCTATTATCTTTTACGTTTTATGCCGACGAAATATGTTTTAGGAAAATTAAATTCCAATCTCTTGGCTTGTGGCATTTGCCCATATTGCGTATGTGTTTTGAATATTCATATGTTGAGTATACGCCACAAAGAACTTCAATCATTTTCAAAATTTTGAATCTATTTTGATGGATATACATTTCATAGAAATTCTATACCATTCACAGTATCTGTGTGCCTGTCGATTTTCATGATGACAATGATAATAATGATGATGTGGATCATAATGAAATAGTAGTTAGTTGCGGTATCAATGATTACAAGCCAGTCTAATGATTATTATCTGTATGTATAGATAGAAAAGCATTCGACAACGAACACCAATTGAAAAAATACGTGTGTGTTTGCAACAATTTGTTTCACTTCGGTTCTTTTTTGTTCGCTACCATTGCTTTTGTTTCAACATATTTTGTATGGATATAATGAATCTATAATACAATAGTAATGAGTTTATAGAAAAATGAGCAAAAAATATTTAATTAAACATTGATTATGTGTTAGGCTTTTGGTTTTGCGTTTTTTCTCTCTCTCTCTCTCTTTCATGATATTTCTATTATTAGTTTGAGCTACAAAGCAGTGATGTGTTGAATATGTAGATGATATTTTATGGTGAATGAATAGATTTATAATGTTGCGGTTATGGTTGGAGATGCATTAAATTATATAAAGTTATTATTTTTTTTATTTCTTGCTTGGCACATTTTTGAAAAAAAAATTAAATGAAATTGTATAAATAAAAATAATGTTTTAATATAAAATTTGTTCAATAGCAACTTTTTTAAATAATAATTTTTATATCGTGATAACAATTGTTTCCGTTTTAAAACGTGAATCACTGATGAGATGTATGACGTATGGGGAGATGGTTTTTAGATCTGGCAAACATTTATTAATGAGCGACAACAATGCAAAGTTGGGCAATTCCAAAAATTTCATTAATTAAAATTTATATAAATTGAATAAAAAATGGGTAGAAGGCCTAAGTAAACCTTAAAAGTTGAATAGAAGAACAGATCTGTTGCTTTAACCATAGACCGCAGGTCTTCCGTGGATAGAAGATCTTCCACAAGTCTAAAAGAATACATATAAGAACTCCAACAGGTCCTTAATTGGTAGAAGATTTTCCACAGGGTTTCCGTGAAACCTTCCAAATGACTTGTGTACATTATGGGTAGAGGATCTATCTTAGGACTTCTATGAATAGTAGACTTTCCACAAGTCTTCTGTGAATAAAAGAGCTTCTGCGAGTCATTTATGGATAGAATAACTAGCACAGGTCTTTTATGGATCAAAGAACTTCCACGGATTTTCTATGGAAAAGTTTTCCTATCCACAGGTCTTCTATGGATAGAAGACCTTCCACAGGCCTTCTATGGAAAAATACCTTCCACAAGTCTACTATGGATATAATACCTTCAACAAGTCTTCTATGGATAAAAGACTTTCTATCCACAGGACTTCAATTGATGAAAGACTTTCCACAGGTCTCCTATGGATAAACTACATTCCACAGGTTATCTCTCGATAGTAGACCTTCCACAGATCTTCAATTGATTGAAGACCTTCCAATGGTCTTCAATGAAGAGAAAACCTTCCATAGGTCTTCTATGGATAGAAGACCTCCCACAGACCTACTATGGACAGAAGACTTGCCACAGGTCTTCTATGGATATAAGATCTTCCCAAGGTCGTTTATGGATAGTATACCTTCCACAGGATAGAAGACTTTCCACGAGTTTTTTATGGATAGAAGACCTTCCACAGCTCTTCTATGGATGGAAGACCTTTACAGGTATTCGATTGATAAAAGACCTTCACACAGGTCTGCTATGGATATAAGGCATTCCACAGGTCTTCTATGGATAGAAGAACAGCCACAAATCTTCGACGTTAGAAGACCTTCCACGGGTCTTTTATAAATGGAAAACCTTCTATGGATAGAAGACCTCCCACAGGCCTACTATGGACAGAAGACCTTCCTATGTCCTGGATGGAAGACCTTCTAGAGGTCTTCTGTGGATAAAATACCTTTAAGAGGTTTTCCACATGTCATCTATTGATCTTCCTAATATAGAAGGTCATTTCAGGTCTTCTACATGTCGAAGACTTCCAACAGGCGTACCTTCTTCGATAGAAATCCTTACAAAAGTCTACGGATAGAAGACCGGTGGGCGGTGAGCTTTTAAAGACATTTACGTTCTTGGTCTTCTACGGACGCATATTTTCCACAGGTCTTCTATTTGGGGATATGTAGAAAATACCTTCCACAGGTCTCTTACTGATAAAACAAATTTCTAAGAACTTCTATGGATAGAAGACCTGGCATAGATTTTTTACGGATAAAAGACTACCTTCCAAAAGACTTTTGTACATAGAAGACTTTCCCACGGTTTTTTATGGATAAAATACCCCTCCTTATCCGTCCGTGGATAGAATACCCTTCGCAAGCCTTGACTTTATAGAGGACCATCCGCAGGTATATTGTGGACAGAGGCCCTTCTACATGTCGGCTAAGAAGACCTTTCACAGCGCATAGAAACCCTTTTCTCAGGTCTTTTATGGATACGATATCCTCCTCAGGTCTTCTTTGGATATAATGCCTTCCGCAGATCTTCCACAAATCCGTTATCCATAAAAAACCTTCCACAGATCCTTTTTTAAGTAGACGACCTTTCATATGACTTCAACAAATCTTCCATTTATAGAATATCTTCAATAGGTCTACAATTTGAGTGTTCTTCGCAGAGAACACATTGATAAATATTTTTGGAATTGCCCATATGCTCTATTGAATTATGTATATTGGATTAATAAAGACTACTGACAAGTTGGGTATGATTGCAGACAAAGACACACAGATATAATCCACACGAACGCATTCGGACTGCCTATATACAGATGGATAATTATGGATGAGACTCATATTTCACTGGTGTTGACATGACAACCATACATTCTGGAAACTTTCACTCCTTTCATTCGCACTCATACACAATACAAACCTACTCTTATTATACATATTTATGAACATGGAAAATAATACAACAGAAAAATCATTTGTTAGTTGAGTGCAAAACATAAAACCAAAGCAAAAAATTTGGACAGCGAATTAGGTACGGGTAACCAATCGGTTTGAGTTTTAAAAACTACATACATAGATAGATAAAATCGTATACATAATCCTACATACATATTCAATATATATATTTTATTGTGTGCATTAGTTTCATATATGATAGTTCGGCTTACCTGGCGGGTAAAATTAATGCATCAAATTCCGTTGATAAATGTCGTCGTATTATGTTCTTTGAGGGTGGTATGCCCAACGCGGTGGCCATGGTATCGCCCGAAAAGGAGGGCTCCAACACAACTAAGCCACCGTGCACTCCGCTATCTGCAATAAAAATGGACGACAACAACAAGAACAATTATAATCGAAATAAATAATCAATTGGTTTCGGTGTGTTAAATCGGACATTTTACATGTGTTCGAATAATGCACATAATTAGACATAATTACGATGACAGCAATTATGTCAGATTATATGATTGAGGTATAGCATTACAATTATCATAATCGTCATCGAAGTCATCATCATCGTTATTATTGAAGTTCGATATGTGTCCAACATAAGGGTGATTGGTTGTTGTTATTGCTGTATTGTGGTCATATCATAAATTAAATGTAATTGATATTTTTGGGATCAAAGAGGTGAACCGATAAATATTTGGTTTCAGTACGGGTATAAATTTAATTTGGTGGTTTTGAATTAAATCTTCAAGATTTCCAATGCTTTAATACGAATTTAGATAACAAGGAAAATCAATTCTAACGAATTATGCAAAAACTTTGCAATAAAAAGTCAAATATAAACAAGTAAAAAGCAGATAAGTTCGGGCGGGTCGAACTTTTAATACACTCCACCATTCCGAAAGAAATTAAAGAATTTCAAAAAAAATATATAAAACTACTACTTTAATGAAAACAGTCATATGGGTGCTATATGAAGACGTGGATCTGCATACGAAATTGTTTGCCATAATATCGAATATATACGAAGACGTGGACCTGCATACACACATTTTTGTAAAAGGATGTAGTACGCATTACGAATTTTAAGTATGGAATTTGGAATAATTCCGGTAAATAATGTCGCTAAAATCATGAAAATACAGAATATCGGGAGTACTGCATACAAAAATTGTTATCATAGGTTGTAGTACCCATTAGTATATTTTTCTACGAAATTTAAAACAATTCCGGTGTATAATTTTGCTAAAATCTTATATGGGAGCTATACGAAAACTTGGACCTGCATACAAAAATTTTTGTCAGAGGCTGTAGTATCCGCTACGAACTAGAGTGATTTCCACAGGCGGACAGAGGGACAGGCGGACAGAGGGACAGGCGGACAGTGGGATGGACATCGCAAAATCCACAAAGAATTTAATGCTGATCAAGAATATATATACTTTGTGGGGTCTAAAATGCATATTTCGAGGTGTTACAAACGGAATGACTAACTTAATATACCCTCCATACTATGGTGGAGGGTATAAAAAGACAAGATTGTCCTGAAAAGAAAACCATATTGCTAGAAATTTTGTATTCATTTGAGAAAGAATGGGCATTCTCTGACCTTGATAGTGAAGCAATTATTTCCTAAATGCCAATGGCATATATTATATAAATACGCAACAGGCACAGTCGTGCGGGGCCGACCATGTGATACCCTACAACTCTACAATGTGTTAGAAGCCCCCTCCATTTTGGAAGATTTCGCTTTTGAATTTATGTCACGGAGCATTGCCCAGACATTACCCTTAGCATTTTGACCAGGGACATTTGCCCAATATTTACGCACTCCGTCGTGATGTTAGTTGTTGTGGTCCATTTTACAGCTAAATATAATCCAATGGTCATCCAAAATGATAGAATTCTTCCCTGTCCTTAACTCTCTTATCAGGCGTGTCGATAAGCTTCAATTGTGTGATCAGGAATTTTTTTCTGTTTTTGGTTCATTTGAACCGCAAAATATTTTGCGATCATCTCCAAAAGCTAGAGGTCCCTCCGTATCTCCAAATTTAGACTCATCTATATGATCTGCTTTTCTACGATATTTGGTTATATTCGTCAACAAAATCAGCTTAAAAAGCCAGATGTTCGCCTTTTGTGTATTTCAGATATCGCCTGTAAGTAATGCTGGTATTTTTTCACACAAAGAGTTGAGGTCCATTCTACTTGCTGTCCTAAACTCTAACGTCATGCGAGATTTGCAGCCACAGGACACTTTGGTTTCTATGTGTGACCTTTATTTCTTACGGCTGCAAATTAAGGAACATTTTTAGTTGTTGGTCCATTTCAACCCTTAAATATATGGTGGACATCTTTGAAAACAATAGGTCTAGCCCTTCTGAGCCTAATCCTAAAATTTTCGTGAGGATCGGATGATAAATTCAATCTGTATATAATAACCCCTACCTGTGTTGTAAGGTGAAAGAATATTGAAAAGTATGCAAAAAATCGCATGCGATAAAAAAAATCTAAAAAATCTAAACTAACAAATCTATATTAACATCATTATTGCCATTTTTTATGCGTTTTTTCGATTTTGTATTTTTATGCCAAGAGAGCATGCGGAATTGACAAAATTTGTCTAAATCGGTCCAGCCATTCTTGAAATATAAACATTCTAGCTAACACTCATTTCCTTTGTATATATACATTGTATATATTTCGCAATATATATCCGATATATTTACTATCGGCATCTACATAACGGTCAGGTTTGACCTGTTCATCTATTTGTGATTTCGCCGGGATTAAACATATTGACGGTTTAATGGAAAATTTGACTTTTAGTTAACATAACATTTGTGTTAACTAAAAGTCAAATTTTCCATTAAACCGTCAATATTTTTAATCCCGGCGAAATCACAAATAGATGAACAGGGTCTATTTCACCCACTAAATATTACCCGATGACTATTCAAATTGGAAGGCTTCTGCCCAGCCCTAAGCCCTAACCTTATTCTGTGACGATGGGTTTTAAATTGTGACCTGTAGAGCCACTTCAAGATCAGGAAAGTTTTAATTTTTGGTTCATTTGTTCCCTAAATGTACAACTTGAAAAACAATAGGATTTGATTCTGACCCCAATTCTACCCCTATGCAAAATTTCTTGATAATCGGACAAATATATTGTTTGTAAATTGAAAAAAATATTACCAAACGTAAAATTCAATATTGAAGTCAAATATGACAAAATCGCATATGATAAAAAATATAAAAATAAATTGAAATAAGTAAGAAAAAATATTAACTTTTTATTACATTTACATTTGTTTGTAACAGGCAAAAGTAAACGAGATAGACCCATAGTTCCTTTTGATGATCTGCATAGAATCACATTCTGAGTCGATTTATGCATGTCCGTCCGTCTGTCCGTCCGTCTGTCCGTCTGTCCATGTATTTTTGTAAACAAAGTACAGATCGCATTTATTGCCCGTTTCAGATAAAATTTCGCACAAATAATTCGTTTGACCCAAGGACGAACCTTACTGAAATCGGATATAATCGGTCAAAATTTAGGTATAGCTCCCATATATATTTTCGTCTAATTTGCCTTATATTGTGCACCAAACATGTAATATCAGCCCGAATAGTATGGAATTTTGCACATAAAACCAAATTAGGCCTGTAAATAAGTATGCCAAATTTGATCGAAATCGGTTCAGATATAGCTCCCATATATATTCTACATCCGGTTTGTTATTTTTGTCCTCCGCAGCCGTAATATGCAATTTGTAACAACAATATTTGGGGAAATATATCAAATACAGCTAAGAAAAACATTTATCGAGGTCGGTTCAAATTTCAAGTTAATAGTGCACCAAATTGATAATACAAGCCCGAAGTGAAAAGGCGCAAATGCCTCGACAAATTTAGTAGAAATCAGAGGAGGATATTCCTTCCATATATTAGTTCCTTTGGACTTTTAATGATTACTATAATCATAGTTGGTATGATTTAATTCTCACAAATTCCCCATTAAAACTTTTATTTGTTATGTGAAGCTCTACTAAGAATGCAAAGTGGTGTAGGTTATCATGTGATTTTCTTAGATTTTATCATTTTTTGGCAAAACTCCATTCCGAATTTATGAATTGTCAAAATCCGTCCAGGCGTTCTTGAGTTATAAGCGGTCTAACTAACATTCCCTCCATTGATATATTAAAAATATTCGCGGTTTAGTGGATTTTTTTTGTTTTTGGTCCATTTAAACCCATAAATATTATGCGATCATCTCCAAAATACTGCTAAGGATCGGGCCATAATTAAGACCTGTAGAGTGATTACAATTTAACATGGACGGACATATTGACTCAGCTCGGCGAGATAATAATACCCCCACCACATAGTGTTGTAGGATATAAAAATCTGCGTTTACGTGTACGCCAAAATGTGATTTCAAAGAGGACCATTTCCATAAGGCTGAAGAAGTTGAAGTTTGACCTTTCAACTTTTAAATTTACAGGACCGATTTGGATAAAATATTAATTCAAGAAGATTAATATTAAATCAAGAAGATAATTTTATGAAATCATTTCTATTCATTCAAAATATACAGAATTTTGAATGCCAAATTAAGATCCTTAAAAGGTGTTTTCATCTATTCGCCAATCAGAAAAAATATATATTTTTGTCTTTTCAATTACGTTGCTTTAATCCTCCTTTTCATTCCTGTTTTTATTGTACGACAAAAATGAAGATCCGGAATTTTATATAAGTTATTATTTTTTTCGTTTTGCATAAAACATACCTTTAAGATTATCAGCGTATTCACCCAAATCAATGGAACGAGCCCAGCGGATAAAACGTTGATTGGTCCAGACAATGGGATCCGTATCGACATTTTCCGATTGGACTCGGCGCATGGCCAAGTTTTGACGATCGTATTTTACAATGCGCAAGACATGAATACCTAGGAAAAAGTAATACAAAGAACAAAAAATACACATCAACTCTTTTTCTAATTTGCTCTTGTTTCCTCCACACCCCGCCTACATACCATGTACAATGCTGGCCTGATGGAATTTCCTTGTGACACCCAAAAACTTTTCCAGCTCCTTTTTCGACAGTGTGTCCAACATGCGGGCATCGACCAATGAATGCAGGAACGATTCAGCGTACTGGGGCAAACCAATGTCGGGCAGCCATTCGGAGGCCACCCATGTATGGCCCAATTGTGTTATCATCGGGTAACGTACCATTTCGGGTCGACGTTGTTCCTCAATGGCCAGACGCAGTTTTTTACGATGCATTGGATGGGCCAAGCCAAGACCAGCTTCTAGTTCCATGTCGTTTAGCTCCAGCAGAACTTTGCCGCTTTTAACATTTTCAGCACAACGTGAACTGTACTGGGGCATACCGAGTGCCACCTCCAGCCAGGCCAATACTTGAGAGGCCCTCCATCTTTCCATAGGTAGCTGGGAGGCTTCTCGCAGTAAGCGTAATTTTTCAGCATAACCCTCTTCCGATAGGGGACTCCAGGCGTAATCATTAACTGAAAAGATTTTCGATTATTTTTGATCCTACTTTATTTCCCTCAATTCCACTTACACTCACTGGCACCATCCGAAGATAAAGCCTTGTTTTTATTCCTTGACCTGGCAAACACCCTTGATATACTACCCCAAGTACCGCCACGACCATTGCGTGCACCCAGTGTGGTCCCCGACGTTTTGGGAGGATATTTACGAGCCACAGCTCCTGGTCCCTCGGAGTCAACGGGTGAGCCCAATTGTTCCACAGATCTTGAAAAGAGGTTATGGTGGTGGTTAACAACTACTTTTGAAAAATGAGTTGTGAAAAATTACCTGGAATAAGCTGCTGAATTCAGAGGTGACAAAGTTGGACTTCTTTCTTTGGGAGTGCCGTCTAAGAGCAGCATCGAAATAAGAGTAAATTTGGGCAGGAAAAACAGATTTTAGATTCGATATGGATTTTTTTTTTATAAAAATGAAGATATTCCTATAATCAAATCTTAAGTGATAACTGTTTAGAAAATTGATATAGCTCTTCAAATCTTAATAATGTTTGGATCAAAAATACATCCCTAGCCCTCACCTCGTTGAAGCATACCCACAAATCTTCAAAATTTAAATTAAATCAATAAAACTTACATTGATACATATTTTGACTAGACACCAGCGATATGCTGTCGGGATCCACCGTAATACACGGTCCATTATCCGATACACCATCGCTGAAATTCATATCGCCGCCGGTACTCTCCCGATCACTGTTATTGCGCAAGGCGGAATCATTGGAACATGAATTGCGATCGCCGGCTGTGTTACCCGAACTATTACTGAATGCTGAGAGGGAGTTTGAATTGCCACGCCCACTATCATCATTACGATATGTGGCAGCACTTCCCGCTCCACTGCCTCCAGCACCACTACCAGCGACACTATTCATTTGGGCATTCATAAGACCCGATGCTGCAGAGGGTGGCGTCAATGGGGCAAAGGAGAGTAAACTCTCTTGATCCGACATACATCCCTGCCCGGCCATTTGTCTTTGCAATTGTTCCTGCAACTTCTGCAGCTGCATATCCCGGGCGCTCAGCTGTTGGGCCAATGAGAGCGATCGCTCCGCCTCATCTCGTGCCTGCTTCAACAATTGCCAACGTTCTCGTTCACGATCTCCCGAAAGTTTGGCATTATTCGATTCCGATTCTCTTACCCGTTCCTGATAGTTTCGTATGAAATCTCTCAACTCTTGTTCTTTTTCCTGCAATGAAGCACACAGCTGCTTCACTTGGCCGACTAGTTCATTTTTATCACTTCGAAGTTTTTTACGTTCAATGCGTAAGTTCATTAATTGATTTTTGGCTGATCGCAACTCTTGTTCCAGGCGATCGATACGTTGTTGTGTGTTGGAACTGCTGCCATCTGTTGATTGTCCATCGCCACAGCTATTCGAGTCAGAGAGATCGATGCCACCCACAGCCCCTTCCGGAGATGTTTCGAGAAGCTTGCGTAATCTGTGAAGTTCAGCATTAAGCCGTTCGTTTTCTTCGCGCAGTTTCGTGGGAGAGTCTGTAATGAGAAATTAGGAATGGAATTTTGAATTAGAGATCAACGCGATTTTTTTATATATGCATCTCTTATTATATTTTTAAAAAATTGTAGGTACATAAACATGAATTGAAAATTGAATTTTTAAAGTGCAAGCAAGGAAGCGAACAAAATAATAATGAAACTGATTTAAACCTAGAATTGGTTTGAATGTTTGGAATGATAATAAAAAATATAATAGTAGCAAAAAATAATAATATTATTTATAATGAACTTAATAATAATTGAATATTAATAATAAATGTATTACTTTCATTCTGAGAATATCTAAAATTGCCCATTTTGGAGAGTTTTAGAGTTTTAGGTTCGAAGATGTGTAAAATTGACCCACTACTTCTGGTACCTATACATGAGATGTCAAAATTAAAAAAAAAAACTACATTTCGTGGAGGGGGAAGAGACTTTGGCTTGTCTACCTAGGATGAGATCACACATATATAATGTCGGCCTACTCTCTCAATTCCGAATATTTCCGGCAATTATAGATCTGGTGTAAAAGTAATGTACATTATATACCAGTCCATAAACGATGTAAATCACAATAAAGTCATATTTATATCAAACTAAGATCAGGTTTGAAAATGTAAAATGTTGACCCATTCCTTCTGGTGTCTATTAGTATAAATAGATTCCAGAATGAATGTTCATAATTTGTTAATAATTTTGTTTAGAATTACAAATATTTCTACCAATATTAGATCTAGTATAAAAATGTTATACTCCGGACTGCACTTTTTGCTATCTTCCCCCAAATTATCAATATTTTTTAAAAATCACAACACTCACCAAAAGGTGAAATTGGTTCTTGATTAAGGGACAGATAAGTTTACTTCTTCTGCTACTTTCTCCGAAATCAGTAAAAATATTTGTTATTAAGTGAAAGTCAAGTTTTTGAAAATAGAAAACAATGGACCCCACCAAAAGAACTTTGTACAGGGACGTACGCAGGGGTCGGCCCTTAGGGTACGACTCCCATAATGGTTACTACAGACAGATTTTTTTTGTGGAACATTGTGTTATTTATCAGTTGCCCCTCCAATGGTTTCAAAAATCATTTCTGATGTTGTGAGAATATTTTTTAAGGTAATTGTGTATTTCTAAAGGACTTCATACCCAATAATCATGGATTCCTTAAAGAATTTTCTGGTCGAAATGGTGGATTTTTCTGAAGGACTTCAATAATCTTTGGCCATCTGGCAAATGATTGTGGATTTTTTGGAGGACTTGTGGCCAATAATCCTTTGATTATTTGGTGGAGTGTATATTTTTAAAAAAATATCATGTATATTTTAAACAATTGATCTATATGATCAAAAATCTTGGATTTTTTAAGAAACTTCTTTTATACACTCCACCAAATAATCAGAGGATTATTGGCCACAAGTTGTGAATTTTTTCTAGGGCTTTCTGGCCAAAAACAGTGGTTGCTTAAAAAACTTGCTGGTAAAAATCTTTAATTTAAAAAAATAGGAAATAATTGGTATTTTCGAAGACTTCCCGGCAATTAAAAATAAAAATTTGGAGGTTGTTTTAAAGGACTTTCTGGCAAAAATTGGCTATTTGTTAACGGACTTCGTGACAATAGTCGTGTATTTTTTGAAGGACTTAATTTCTAGGAAAGACTTCTCGTCCAATAAACGAGGATTTTAAGGGTTTTTTGGTCAAAAATCATGAATTTCGTAGAGAAATCCTGGGGTCTATTTTAAAATTTTTTCAAGGACTCTTCAAATATCAAATATTTTGTTTTAATATTAAAGACATTCTTGTCAATGGCCATCTTGCATTATTTAGGATACTATTTTAAAAAACAAGGATTCTTTAATAAGTATTTTAAGCGAACATCTGACCAAAAATCTTGGATTTTGAACAAAAACTTTTTCTTGGACTATCTTACCAAAAATTATCATGGGTATTATAAGAAGCCCATACCATAGAAAATGTTGTCCAAACACTATGAACTTTCCAATCAAATTTTTTCAATATTTGTTCGACCGAAAATCGGTTACTTTGGAGGAAAATCTTTTCAAGGATCACCTGACCAGAAATCGTGGATTTGAGAATAATAATTTTTTTCTGGACAAAAGTCGAGAATTTTTAATAACAACTTTTATCGGACACTCTATGGATTTTCAAAAAAATTTGATGATGTCGGGGCCATCTATGTAGATATTTTCAACAGACACGTATTTCTTAAGAAAGTCTATTAATGGTCATATGAACTAGAATCGTAGATTTCTTAAGAATTTTTTTGTAGGACCATAAGGACAATAGTAATGACTTTTAAAAATGACTTTTCACGGACCATGGTACCGAAATTTTTTCCGGTTTTCCTGGGTATTTGTGGCATAGTCCAATTGTAAATAAAATCGTTGATGATATGTGTGTAGGGGTCTTACTTAGGTGTGAGCTTTCCAATATTAGTTCTATAAATTAGTTTTACAATTTTTGCCGCCGATCGCCATTAGAAGTTCTCTTAAAACCTAATGCCTTCGCCAAAATCAGTACCCGGAATTACATTTTTTACGTATACTTAGAATTTCTTTCAGCCATATGGCTAGAGGGGGTACATTTCATTTGATACGGCCAAAACGTACCTAATCGAAATAAGGGTTTTAGACCCTAGGTCTCTTTGGACCAAATCCGTTTCAGGACATTTGCAGTCGATCTAGCGATGACTGGTACGCACGATGACTGCTACGCACGATAACTCTCAAGGGAAGTATCCGATTTGGTCCAAATTTGGTGCATCGTAATAGTATTATTAAACTTAGGTCGAGTTCGGAGATGGGCAATATCGGTCCACTCCTTCTGGCAACCCTCCCACAAAAGTTCCTAGTATTTGCATCAGTGCTAGGTCAAGATGAGTCACACAAAGGGTCAACATTTTGAACTCTTGTAAAATGCGAAATGAGTATCCGATTGTCGTTTGATTTCGCACATCCCAATATTTCTACGAACACAAGATCTGGTGGGAAGATGAAATACATCAGCCCATCCTTCTGGTACCTCCCCCAGAAAGTGTCAAGATTTTGAATATCCAAAACGATCTTGAAAACCGAATAACCGAAATAAGCATCTGGATCTCTTCATATTTCACACATTCCATTATTTCTACTATCACAATATATGCTGTGAAGATGGAATGTATCTGTGTACTCCTTCTGATACCTCCTCCACAAAATTTCACAATTTTAAATATTAATGAAGCTCATAAAACCACGAAATTAACAGCCGATTCTATACAGACTTGGTACATCTCATTATTTCCATCAACACGAGATCTGTTATAATGATGGCAGAGATCGGACCATATCTTCTAGTACCTCTCCCACAAAGGGTCAAAATTTTGAATAACCAAAACGATCTTAAAAACCGAATCTGGCTCTCTTCAAATTTCACACATGCCATTATTTTTACTAACACAAGATCTGCTTTAAAAAATTGTATATATCGGCGCCCTCCTTATGGTACTTCCCCACAAATTGTTCATAATTTTTAAAACGTTCAAAAAACGCAAAATAAGCATCCTACTCTCTTCAAATTTCATACATCCAAACATTTTTGCTAACGCAAGATCTTTTGTGAAGATGACAAGTATCTACCATCGCCTTTTGGTACCTTACCCACAAAGGGTCACAATTTCCAATACATATATCTAAATATTTCTCTTAACCGGAAATCTGATATGTATTTGTAATTTATTGGAATTTATGATTTCGTATAAAATTGGATATAAATGTTCGATTTCCTACAAATTTAACACATACCAATATTTTTATCTGTACTCGATGAAGTGGAATGTTTCGGTCCACTATATCTGGTACCTCATGCATATTTCTACATTTTCCAAAAACTTGCACATGTCACATATAAAGTATAGGAAGTAGTGATATATTCCAAATCTGGCACGTTGTAATATTTATGTCAGACTTAGGTTGGGTACGAAATGGACAGTATTGACCCACTACTTTGGAACCTCCACCATAAAGGGTCAACAGTTTGAAGAATCATAAATAAAGGCTCGGGGTATGCATCTGTCTTCAAAACCGACTAATACCATTTAACTTGATTTATTAAAGTTTTAATGCCTTATATATTGAGCGCTATTCAAACTTATTTTCTGTTCTGTTATGAATTTAGAGTCATTTAACCTGTTCTTATTTAAAATTGTCAAAGGTTTGATTACTACTATATAAATAAAAAAATCATTTCCCTCATGTTTGACATCGCCATGGTAATTGGCAATGAAAGCATAAATCATGCACTCATATTTTAATTATAAGCCAATCTTTGTATATTATGTACGTGCATGAATTATTTGATGTTCTACCTCTGGCAATAGTAATCCATATATGCATTTTTTAATATATCCTATTATGGATGTTCACTATTTAGCCGGAAGCGCAGCATACTTTCTCATATGGATCGGAGAAAAAAAAAAAAAATCAAACCAAAAACATATGTTTTTTAATTGTATGCATAATTGTTTCTATATCTCTTTCCTTTCATTTCTTCTTGGGGGTGTGGGTGCGTATGATTTATATTGATTTCCTGTTCGGTTCTGCTTTCAATAATAATATTCATACGCCACAGGGTCATTACGAATGCATAACTTCAATTGCATAAAATTCTTGTAATATTTAAATTTCACACAGTTTATGCGAAATTTCACGGAGGAGTGGGATTGTATTTTTATGCTGCTGAACTGAAAATCCCGAGTTTTTATGCAACATAAATATTTAATTAAAACTTTAGCTTGTTTCTTTTTCCAAAAAAATTCAATGTGGTGGTGGAAAATTAAAAAAACAGCAACACAAACCAAATGAAACGGACAATAGAGCAACAACAATAACAGTAATAATAATAAAAACAACTTCACATCCAGAGACACGTAAACGAAAAATTTAATAAAACTCTTTACATTTATGGCAAAATAAACATCAGCATTGTAATTAGGGGGA